ATAAACGTACATTTTTCTATTTGACTTGCGATAATCGATGGCGTTCACTAACAGCTCATAGCCATACGTTCTTAGCCTGCTTAGCAGCCGTTTCCTTTCCTTTTCCAGGCGGAGAGATCGAACAAGCGAGCGAGCAAGCGGGCGAGCAAAGAAGCGCGCCTGGGGTGAGCAAAAAATCGGGGAGAAGTGGGGAGGGGCGAGCGAGAAGGGGGAGTGGGTGGGAAGAAAAAGGAATTGGCTCGCCTCTCTCCCTCCCCCTGCTCCTTTTTCGAATTCGCTCCCAGTTTCGTTCCGTTCGCCTGCTTTTTTGGTAACGTCTGCTATGTAGGCTATACGTTCTTTTCGAACCGGAAAAAAAAGGAGATTGTTTAAAGAGTGTCAAAAGTGATGTGAACTTCATTTCCCCAGGAAGCAAACATCTTTTTGGGTATTCTGATTGCATGAAGCCCAAGATTCATAGACGATAACTTGACAGAGCTGTTGACAAACTGGATGGAATAGCTGTATTTCACTACAACACTTGTAACAATCTAGAGAAATGCTTACATAGTTCAACTGCAAAGACTTCTGGAAAGAAGTGTTACCTATTTTCCGAGTGTGACCCATTTTTCCAAGTTTGACCCTTTTTTCGAAGTGTGGCCAAGTTTTCCAAGTGTAACCCATTTTTCCAAGTGTTACCCTTTTCTAAGTGTGACCCATTATTCTAAGTGTGATCCTTTTTTCCAAGTGTGTCCCATTTTTCCAAGTGTGACCCATTTTTCCAAATGTGACCCACTTTTCTAAGTGTGACCCGTTTTCCCAAATGTGACTCATTTTTCCAAGTGTAACCCTTTCTTCCAAGTGTGACTCCTTTTTCCAAGTATGACCCATTTTTCCAAGTGTGACCCATTTTTCCAAGTGTGACCCATTTTTCCAAGTGTAACCCTTTCTCCAAGTATGACCCATATTTCCAAGTTTGCCTCTTTTTTCCAAGTGTGACCCGTTTTTCCAAGTGTGACCCGTTTTTCCAAGTGTGACCCGTTTTTCCAAGTGTGACCCGTTTTTCTAAGTGTGACCCTTATTTCGAAGTGTTTCTCCCTTTTTTCGAACAGTGGCCATGTTTTCCAAGTGTAACTCATTTTTCCAAGTGTGACCCATTTTTCTAAGTGTGATCCTTTTTTCCAAGTGTGTCCCACTTTTCTAAGTGTGACCCATTTTTCCAAATGTGATCCAATTTGTGACCCACTTTACCAAGTGTAACGTTTTTTCCAAGTGTGACTCCTTTTTCCAAGTATGACACATTTTTCAAGTGTTACCCATTGTTCCACGTGTGACCATTTTTCCTAGTGTGCCTCTTTTTCCAAGTGTGACCCGTTTTTCCAACTGTGACTCACTTTTTGTGACCCATTTTTTCTAGTGTGAGCCATTTTTCCAAGTGGGCCCCCCTTTTCTAAGTGTGTCATATTTTTCCAATTGTGACCCTTTTTTCCAAGTGAAACCCATTTTTCGAAGTATAGCTCTTTTTCCAAGTGTTACCACTTTTTATCCAGGTGTGACCCATTTTTCCCTGTTTGACCCATTTTTCAAAGTGTGATTCATTTTTCCAAGTTGTACCGGTTTTCCAAGTTGGAAGTGTGGCCGGTCCGCTTTTTTCCAAGTGTGACTCCTTTAATTCTAAGTGTGACCCATTTTCCCGAGTATGAAGCTTTTTTCCAAGTTTGACCCATTTACCAAGTAAGGACCACTTTTTGAAGTGCGACTTGAAGTGTGACCCATTTTTTTTTAACTGCGACCCCTTTTTTCCTAGTATGATCTTTTCTCCAAGTGTGACCCCCATTTTTTCTCTGTGCGACACATTTTTCCAAGTGTGACCCATTGTTTTAAGTGTGATCGTTTTTTCCCAGGTGTGATCCCCTTTTTCCCCAAGAGACCCATTTCTCCAAATGTGATTCGTATTTCAAAGGATGACCAATTTTTCCAGGTGTGACTCTCTTTTTTCTAAGTGTGACTAATTTTTTTGTGTGTGACGCAGTGACCCATTTTCCCAAGTATGATCCTTTTTGCAAGTTTGATCCAGTTTTCCAAGTGTGACCCATTTTCGAAGTATAACTCTTTCTTCAGGTGTGACCTCCTTTTTCCAGGTGTGACACATTTTTCCCTATTTGACCCATTTTTCACAGTGTGAGCCACTTTTCTAAGTTGGACACTATTTTCCAGGTGTAAAACCTTTTTTCCAAGTGTGGCCCCTTTTTTTTTCAAGGTGTGACCCATTTTCCCGAGTATGAAGCTTTCCTCCAAGTTTGACCCATTTTTCCAAGCTAAGTGTGACCCATTTTCGAAGTGTGAACCATTTTTTGAAGTGCGACTTTTTTCCAAGTGTGACCCATTTTTTTTTTTTAAGTCTGATCGTTTTTTCCAATAGACCATATTCGTATTCTCGGTATTGGATTGGAACTAGCTTGCAGTGGAGTCTAATGCGGGGAATATCATTAAAAAGGGATAAATGCTATTTACATTAAAAAGATTCCCCGCATTAACCTCAGCTGCAAGCTACCTCCAGTCCAATACCGAGAATACGAATATCGTCTATTGTGATCCCCTTTTTCCCAGTGCAAACCATTTCTCCAAGTGTGTTTCATATTTCAAAGGATGACCAATTTTTCCAGGTGTGACTCTCTTTTATCTAAGTTTGACTATTTTTTTTCAGGCGTGACGCATTTTAGTAAGTGTGACCCATTTTCCCAAGTATGAACTTTTTTCCAAGTGTAAGGCATTTTTCAAGTGTGACCCATTTTTTTTAAGTGTGACCTGTGTTCCAAGTGTAAGCCCCTTTTTTCAATAAGTCAGCCATTTTCCCAAGTGTAGTCCCCTTTTCTCCATAAGTGACCCATTTCTACAAGTGTGACCCATTTTCACAAGTGTGATCCTTTTATCCAAGTGTGACCCATTTTACAAAGGATCAGCCTTCGAAAAATGGATCATACTTGGAAAAAAATTAAGGGTCACTTTGAAAAAAGGGCCACACTTAGAAAAATAGGTCACACTTGGAAAAATGGGAAAAACGATCAGACTCCTAAAAATGCCTCACACTTATTAAAAGGATCCGACTTCGAAAAATGGGTCAGACTTGAAAAAATGGGTCGCACTTTTCCAAGTACAACCCATTTTTACAAGTGTAACCCTTTTTTCCAAGTGTAACCCATTTTTATTAGTGTGATCAACGTGTCTAAGTGCGACCCATATTTACAAGTGTGGCCCATTTTTCCAAGTGTAACCCATTTTTCCAAGTGCGACCCATTTTTCCAAGTGTGACTTATTCTTTCAAGCGTGTCCCATTTTTCCAAATGGGACCCAAGTTTGACCCATTTTTCCAATTGTGATTTTTGTTCCAATTGTGACCCCTTTTTTCCATAAGTGACCCAGTTTTCCAAGTGTAACCCATTTTTCAAAGCGTGACTCATTTTTTTTTTTTTTTATAATTGTGACCCATATTAACA